CCATGCGCTCGGTGTCTTTTTTTTTTTACGCGCCCTGGTCACCCGGAAGGCCGGCCGGCGACCCCCGTGTCAGTGCCGTGTACGTACGTGTCGGGTCCCACGTTCCTACTGGTGCCTGAACCTACACTGACGCCACTCAGGTAGTAGACGGATAGGAGACAAGTCATACCGCCGGCAGTGGGTGCGCGCGCTCGCGTCCGCCTCGTCCCGTGGACACTCATAGCCATTGCAAGAGTATTTTTGTTCCGAAATAAAGGAAATTTGCAGCCCTTTGTTTTTAGAAGGGAGTGTTTCACATGCTTTTATTTTTATTTTTCCCTTTTTCCTAAGTCAGCCACCGACCTCTTCCATGCAGTGGTCACATGTGTGCGCTCGGGACCTCCCGGATGGAGAAGCGAAGGCGCGCGAGGCCCGAGACTGCGCGGTGGCCCCTCCGTGGTGGGCGCCACCTGCTTCCCCTCCCGGGTCCCTGGAGGAGAGGAGGCACTCGGTCTCGCGCCCACACCCTGGCGGTTCCCTGTGGCCCCTTAGGCGCCATCTCATAAGCAACACCTCCCCCCACAGGGCCCCGCCCCCGCTGGAGCACCACTCACTGCCATCGGGCCTCGGGCGCCGCCGCTGTTAGGATGGGCGCCGGACAACCTACCTCGCAGGGCGTGGTGAGGTGTAGCGATGGCCCCGGGGATGGGCAGCTCAGGCGGCAGGAGCTGCAAAGACACCTTAGGTCCAAAAAGCAAGGTTCTGAACTGCCCACTTGGAGTTGCCCGCCTCCGAGCAAGGATGCCAGCCTGCTGCCCCGTTTCTCCTCCGAAGACACCTACGTAGAGGCTGGTGCCCCAGGAGAGAGGCGAGGCGCCGACCCTCCGGTCACTGTGGCAGCCCCACCAGGGGAGGCTGCTGGGACACCAGGCCGCGCCTCTTTCCCACGGGGAGGAAGCCCGCCCCCACCCACCCGCATTTGTCTGGGTTCAGCCAAGTACAGGGCAGCCATTCCTATTGGGGGGATCCCCATCCACAGGCCAGGGGTCCCCCTGCCTGCGGCTCCACACCACATGGAGGGGGCAGCCCCCTCCCTGAGCGGTCCCCTTTTTTTGGTGCCTCCTACATTTCTTGAGGAAAAAAAACAAACAAAAAAATGTGTCCTTAGCTATAGCCTGTTTTGCGCAGCAATATGCAGCCTCTTGCGCCCAAGATTACCTCTGGAGATCGCGGCCCTGGTCCAGGACGCAGCGTCCACCCCGCCTCGCGGAGGGGAGCCCTTGTTTCCAAGGAGAAGATGGGGGAGTCCTCGCCAGCCTCTCAGGAGGGCCTCCGGGAACCCTCAAACCGGAGTGTACCCTCAGGACGGGCAGGAGGCAGACCAGCCCGCCATCAGCCAGCGTCTCCTCCAGAAAAGGACGCTAATCCCGGATATAAAGAGCAGCAAAAAAAAAATTATATACACATATATATATACACACACGGGGAGGGGGTCATTTTTTACTTGTTTGAAGAATTATAATAAACTAATTTGAGTATCTCCTGTGAGTAAATTCTTTCTTGCTTTTTGTTTGTTTTTAAAATATGTTTTTATTGATTTCAGAGAGGGAGGGAGAGGGAGAGAGAGAACCATCAATGATGAGAGAGAATCATGGACCGGCTGCCTCCTGCACGCCCCCTACTGGGGATGGAGCCCCCAACATGAGACCATGTGTGGTGTTTGTGTGTGTGTGTGTGTGCGTGTGTGTGTGTTTTCTTGGGGTGGAAGGAAGAAAACCGCCTGCTTCCTGATGGACAGACCCGGTGGGGCGGGGCATTGGGGCCAAGGTCAGCCCAGTGCTGCCCCCTGGTGGTGAGGCACATATAAGCATCAACCAATGAATGCTTAGTAAGTGGGACCGCAAAGCCGTTTCTCTCTCTCTCTCTCTCTCTCTCTCTCTCTCTCTCTCTCTCTGATGCCAGCCTGCTGCCCCGTTTCTCCTCCGAAGACACCTACGTAGAGGCTGGTGCCCCAGGAGAGAGGCGAGGCGCCGACCCTCCGGTCACTGTGGCAGCCCCACCAGGGGAGGCTGCTGGGACACCAGGCCGCGCCTCTTTCCCACGGGGAGGAAGCCCGCCCCCACCCACCCGCATTTGTCTGGGTTCAGCCAAGTACAGGGCAGCCATTCCTATTGGGGGGATCCCCATCCACAGGCCAGGGGTCCCCCTGCCTGCGGCTCCACACCACATGGAGGGGGCAGCCCCCTCCCTGAGCGGTCGCCTTTTTTTGGTGCCTCCTACATTTCTTGAGGAAAAAAAACAAACAAAAAAATGTGTCCTTAGCTATAGCCTGTTTTGCGCAGCAATATGCAGCCTCTTGCGCCCAAGATTACCTCTGGAGATCGCGGCCCTGGTCCAGGACGCAGCGTCCACCCCGCCTCGCGGAGGGGAGCCCTTGTTTCCAAGGAGAAGATGGGGGAGTCCTCGCCAGCCTCTCAGGAGGGCCTCCGGGAACCCTCAAACCGGAGTGTACCCTCAGGACGGGCAGGAGGCAGACCAGCCCGCCATCAGCCAGCGTCTCCTCCAGAAAAGGACGCTAATCCCGGATATAAAGAGCAGCAAAAAAAAAATTATATACACATATATATATACACACACGGGGAGGGGGTCATTTTTTACTTGTTTGAAGAATTATAATAAACTAATTTGAGTATCTCCTGTGAGTAAATTCTTTCTTGCTTTTTGTTTGTTTTTAAAATATGTTTTTATTGATTTCAGAGAGGGAGGGAGAGGGAGAGAGAGAACCATCAATGATGAGAGAGAATCATGGACCGGCTGCCTCCTGCACGCCCCCGACTGGGGATGGAGCCCCCAACATGAGACCATGTGTGGTGTTTGTGTGTGTGTGTGTGTGCGTGTGTGTGTGTTTTCTTGGGGTGGAAGGAAGAAAACCGCCTGCTTCCTGATGGACAGACCCGGTGGGGCGGGGCATTGGGGCCAAGGTCAGCCCAGTGCTGCCCCCTGGTGGTGAGGCACATATAAGCATCAACCAATGAATGCTTAGTAAGTGGGACCGCAAAGCCGTTTCTCTCTCTCTCTCTCTCTCTCTCTCTCTCTCTCTCTCTCTCTTCCCTCTTCCCCCCCTCTCTAAAATCAATAAATACACTTTTTAAAAAAAACCCTGCAAGCTCTCCTAAATGATACAGCTGTTTTTGTATCTTTTGCAGCTTCCGGCTGCAAATCCCCACACAGAATCCTTACAAGCTTGACCCGCTAGGACCCCCTCCCCCCGCCAAGCCTAGGACTTGAGGGGGTCCCCTTTCCCCCAAGACCAACCTGCCCGTGGGAAAATCAGGTTCCCCGGCCCTGGGGTGGGAGCGAGAGAGACACAGGCCTTCCCGTGTGTGTGTGGAGGTGGAGGTGGAGAGGGGGGGTCTTCCCAGGACTTCCCTCACGCCCACTCTTCCTCTTTCCCTCGGATCTCGTGTCTTGTGGTTCCAGAGCTCAGGATGCGACAGGAACGGGGGTGGCCCGGGGCTGCCGGAGAGCCGCCTCTCCTCTGATGTGGGGCGCGCAGGGCTCAGTTGGGGGAGCGACTCTGTGCCCACGGCAGGCACCTGGCCAGCTGTGCAAGGCTGGGTGCTGGCGGGGCGGTGTGGTGGGGAGCAGAGACCTTCGAGGCGAGCTTGGGCGGGAGGGAGTTTCCCAGGGGGTCACGTGACGTCCCCTCCCACGCACAGGAGGTCACAGGACATCCCCGTCCGCCCACAGGAGGGCTGTGGGCCCAGGGCGCACGCACAGCTTCTGTCTCACGGATGTGGACCATCTGGCTCGTTTTCCCCCCACGTCTGCTCTCTGCTCAGGGGCTCCACTGTCTGGTGGCTGCTCCCCCCCACCCCCCGATCGCCAGGCAACATTCAGGACGCTCGCTCACCCGAAAACCTCACTCGCTGCTTCTTGGCAGTTGAAATAGAACTGGGCATCCTGCGTTTGTGTTGTTATTTATTTTATTTTTAAAAATATGTTATTTAATTGATTTCAGAGAGAGAGAAACATCCCTGACGAGAGAGATGCCTCCTTCTCATTCTCACCGCCAGAGGTTTAAACCTGCAGAGACGCCTGGCCGGCCGGCCGGGGTGGCTCCGTAGCTGAGCGTCGACCTCTGAACCAGGAGGTCACGGTTCTTCCATTCCCGGTCAGGGCACAGGCCCAGGGTGCGGGCTCCATCCCAGGCAGGGGGCCTGCAGGAGGCAGCCGATCCATGATTCTCTCTCATCATGGAGGTTTTTCTATCTCTCTCTCTCTCTCCCTGCCTCTCTCTGAAATTTAAAAATAAATAAATAAAAATCTAGCCCTGACTGGTTTGGCTCAGTGGATAGAGCGTCGGCCTGCAGACTGAAGGGTCCCGGGTTAGATTCCGGTCAAGGGCATGTACCTTGGTTGCGGGCACATCCCCAGTAGTGGGTGTGCAGGAAGCAGCTGAATCGATGTTTCTCTCTCATCGATGTTTCTAACTCTCTATCCCTCTCCTTCTCCCTTCCTCTCTGTAAAAAAATCAATAAAATATATTTTTTAA